CAACTGGTCGAGACAGACGACCACCCACCTAGAGCCGAAGGATCTGTCCTAGGTTTCTACCTTTTAACAGGCAGTTTTTCCTTGTCGCCAAGTGCTTGCTCATGGTGGTACTGTTGGGTCTCTGTAAATAATGTTATAAGGAGTTCGGTCTAGACCTGCTCTATTTGAAAAGTTTCCTGAGATAACTTCTGTTATAAATTGGTGCTATACAAATAAAATTGAATTGAATTGAAATTTAATTGATCATCCAGGTAGCTCTTGATCTGATATTTCACATTGTCACTTATCAATCCTGTACCTACAGCTCTAAAGAACTTTCTCTGTATCAATTCAGCACTGTACTGTTCATCTGTGCCTGGATTTTCTGGATGATCTGAGAAGTCTCTCTTTTAGATCTATCGCCCTGAATAGAAGGTTCTGTGGCGATTATCTTAGGTGAAATTTATTAGCCGATGGTAAAACTCAGTGGAGCTATCCTCTGTTTTGATCTCTATCATATCACGGAGGCTCAGGCCTGGGCTTATGGCCCTGACAACAGCGTCAATAATTTCTTCCTCACTGTGATTTCTTTTCAGTCCCATTTATTTATTTTTTTTGACAACTTGTCTCTCTGACCCTTCTCCCTGATCTGGCCATTAATTTTTCCTTACATATGGTCAGTTCAGGTGGCTGGGTTGCTGATGAAGCAGCTAGTTTGGGGCAGAAACCCTGACTGGATCTCTGGTCAGTCTGTTGGTCAACCATTTCTTCCTCCAATTTCTTTTTAAAGGTCTGAAAACTATAAAAAAAATATTGTTCTTGTAGGCTGCCAAAAGCCTCCTTAGTGGCACTATCATCGACACCCTGTATTTGCTCATCTTCTTCTTTCACTTCTTCAGCATTTACTATAAAGCGGACCAGGAACTCATTTGCCACCTCCTCTTCTTCATTTTCAATAGCTGTTTTTCAGTTGAACACATGTGAATGAATGAACTCAGTGACATAATATTTTCTTTCTTTACGGCACTGCAAAATACACAGACTTGGCAATGAATTTAGATAATATGAAATAATATATATGAGTGGTGGTTTTCCTGTGAACTAAACAGTATAAGTCATTCTATGACCTTCTTGTCCTCACATTGACTTAAAAAGCTTTAAAAGTTTAATTGGACCTTTATCTTATTTTATCCCTTATCTGGGTATTCACCACTGGATCTCAAAAACATGCAGCTGAAACGTCTTCTTCATTTTCAATAGCTGTTTTTCAGTTGAACACATGTGAATGAATGAACTCAGTGACATAATATTTTCTTTCTTTACAGCACTGAAAAATACACAGACTTGGCAATGAATTTAGATAATATGAAATAATATATATGAGTGGTGGTTTTCCTGTGAACTAAACAGTATAAGTCATTCAATGACCTTCTTGTCCTCACATTGACTTAAAAAGCTTTAAAAGTTTAATTGGACCTTTATCTTATTTTATCCCTTATCTGGGTATTCACCACTGGATCTCAAAAACATGCAGCTGAAACGTGGTGGTCTAACCTAACCCTTTTGGAGGGAATCATTTCCTCAGCTTAAGTCTTCAGAAGAGTAGAACAGGGTGGCTGTGGCTCAGAGGCAGAGCGGGTCGTTCCTTAATCGGATGGTTGTGGGTTCGATCCCCGGGTCCTGGTACCACATGTCAAAGTATCCTTGAGCAAGAACCCCAACTTGCTCCCGATGCTGTGCATCGGTGTCTGAATGTGTATGAATGTTAGTTTCTGTTTGATGGACTTTGCAATCACTGAGTGAATGTAGTGTAAAAGCGCTTTGAGTGATCGGAAGACTAGAAAGGCGCTATACAAGTACAGGTCCATTAACCATAGAACACACTCAACCAAACATTTTGCAGATGACGAGACTGACAAGGTGCCACTCAAAGAGTTCAGTCCAACGACAAAAAAAAAAACACTATGGGGATTTTCCTATGCGTATGTCCACACAAACAAGACTTACAGCCAGACAATGGAGCGTTTAACACTGGTTTAAAAAGTCTGAAACAAACTCAGGAGACCTTGGTACCCAGCCTTATTTAGTTGTCTGTAGTTCAGCAGCTTCTCGTAAAAAAAAGCAACCGCTGTCTCTTTTGCACGGCTTTCACATAAGACAGCCTGCTGCATGCTTATTGGCGTACTGGCGCTGGTGAGTTTAACTCTTGGTATCGAAAGTTTGTTCTGAATGAAAATAATTGTAAAAGACATTTTACAATACTCAGTGGTATTGGCACAATATGATTCTAACTTCTTCCATCACAAGCCATTTCAACAATAACAGAGCTAACCAGCCTTGAGAACACCCATACTTCAGGGACCTCCTTTCTCAAGCACACAATATATATTAAATATATTTACCTCATATAATATATTTTACCTCATCCAGACAAAGTTGTGTTATGGACCATGAGATGCTGTTAACCTATGTTCAGTTCACACCCCAAGGTACTCAGCCACCTCACGTAGCGTGTCCACTGTCATGGCTGTTTGATGAATAGTATGATCTGAACCTTAATTTATGGCCTGAGACAGGGAGGTCAGTCAGAGTTGAAGGTGCTGAAGGAAAAGCCTGTATATTTAATGACGTGCTAAATGCTAAAGGCATCACATTCATGGTTTTTACATTAATTTGAATGGCAAGAATAATGTATAGCCTATTTATATTATTAACAACATTTTATATATATATTAGCAAATGCAACTAAGAAAAACAACAACAAATTAACCTCACATATAAATCTTAGTAACACAGATATTATAAGCATCCATGTGGCTTGAGAACAGTCTCTTAGCTTTGTATCAATTCAATTCAAAAGCAAGCAAGATGGTGGCGCGCATGGTTGCAGCGGCTTACGGCTCTCCATTCCAGTGCTCTTTTCTTTACCTGTTTGAACTGAGGCGCTACAGGTGCCTTAGGACCAGAACAAGCAGATTCAAGAACAGCTTCTTCCCAAAAGCAATAACCACCCTGAACTCTCAAATGCAATGCTCTTAGTTCAACCACCCCAACCCCCGGACTCTCTTCAGTCACTATTAGACACTGATAGTTACTGTGCAATACCATTCAATGTGCAATATTACACACCATAAATGGGCTATATATATATAATATATAATATATAATGTGCAATATATATATCTTACACTGTATATAGCACCTTATTTATTTGCAAATGTACACACTCCTCAGGCCTGCACACCCTACCTCCCTCTGTTGTAATTATTAATTCATGTCCTGTTTATATTGTATATATTTGGAAATGTACACACTCCGCAGGACTGCACACCCTACCTCCCTTTTGTATTATCTCCTTATGTCCTGTGTTTATATTGTATATACTTTGATAATTGTACTGTTTCTGGCACTGCCATTGGAGTTGGCTATTTAATCTCATCATACATGTGTACAGTGACAATAAAGGCATTCTATTCTAATTAAATGTTATTTGTATAGCACCAATTCATAACAAAAGTTATTACAGGACACCTTTCAAATAGAGCATGTCTATACTGTACTACTTATTAAATTATTTACAGAGACCCAACAGTTCCCACCATGAGCAAGCACTTGGTGACCACTGTTGCTGTATGCTACTTGTTGGTTAATAGTGTTCATACAACTAATTTTAATATTTTGTGGAGGAAGGATTTTGTTTGAAAAGGTTGCTGGCGTGTTTAAGTTCTGTTTTTACTATGTTACAGTCTACTAATGAAACAATTTTGCATCACTCACACAAGCTATACCTCCAGTCACCAGACCGCCAGGCTCCTGAAGTTCATGGATACACCACCCTCAATGGGCTCATCTTTGGTGGAGATGAGTCCGCCTACAGATGGGAGATTGACCATCTGGTGACCTGGTGCAGCCAGAACAACCTGGAGCTAAACGCTCTAAAAACTGTAGAGATGGTTGTGGACTTCAGGAAGAACCCAGCCCCAACTGCCCCCATCATCCTGTGTGACTCCCCAGTTGTCTCTGTGGAGTCCTTCCACTTCCTGGATACCATCATTACCCAGGATCTCAAGAAAGCCCAGCAGAGGATGTACTTCCTGCGGCAGCTGGGGAAGTTCAACCTGCCAAAGATTATGATGGTGCACTTCTACACCTCATCCATCACCATCTGGTACGCTGCTGCCACTGCCAAGGACAAGGGCAGACTGCAGCGTATCATTCGATCTGCTGAGAAGGTGATCGACTGCAATCTGCCATACCTCCAGGACCTGTACGCCTCTAGGACCCTGAGGCGTGTAGGCAAGATTGTGGCTAACCCCTCCCAGCCCGGACACAAACTGTTTGAAACACTTCCCTCTGGCAGGAGGCTGCGGTCCATCAGGACCAATACAGTTTCTTTCTGTCTGAAGATGGTCTCATTAATGTACTACAGTTGGTTTTTGGTACTTTTATTTTTGTGTGATTTTTATGCACCAAAGCAAACTCCTTGTACGTGTAAAAACTTACTTGGTAATAAAACTGATTCGTATTCTGATTCTAATTCTCCTTTTTTAGCCTCTTCACATTGGCTCACACTCCCAGTCTGTTTTCAAATTGATTTTAAGGTTTCATGGCCCATCCCCCTGCTATATATTCAAGCCATTTGTACTGTACATGCCAGCTCGTGCTTCCAGCCCAGGTGAAATCGAAAGGTGACAGACAGCTGTCAGGGGCCTGAGGCTTTGGAAAAATCTGCCAGACCAAATCAGGTCAGCTGAGTCAGTGATCTCCTTTAAGTCCCTTCTTAAAACATACTTCTAACGGAGAGCCTTTTTTGATTTTACTTTAATTTAAATTTCCTTGAACTTCTTAAACTTTCTTGATCTTTTATTTCCTCAAATGTTTTTATTGTTTTTACCTGTTGTGTTTCATGTCTTGTGCAGCACTTTGTAAAATGGATTTTAAAGGTGCCCTATAAATAAAGATTATTATTATTGTATTTGTGGAGTTGATGAGATCAAATAACTCAGTAAAAGACTTATTACCTGAGAGATCCCTGTTGACACCCAGGGCCATGCCATCACGCAGCCAGAGCACCATGCCATGGTATCCGGGAATAGAGCAGGGCAGTGTGACTGGCTGGCCTGCCACCACCACCAAGTCTGTGGGTTGTTGGGTGAACACAGTAGATCTCCCTGCAGGGGCAAAATGTGTAAACTGATTTCTCCAACTTGTACAATAAATACAAAATGACACAAACTGCAACTGAGCAAGCAAATGATGATATTTGTGATGGACTCAAATCTAAGGATAATGGAAGTGTTTTGGGGTACCCTCCAGACGCACTTCATTGGCCACATGTTAGGCCAGAAAATTGTCTAGGCCACAAGAGATCATAAGGCATTGAAACTGCAATAATATCAAAATTATATCAAAACTAGATATCTATCTAAATCTATCTAAATATCTAGTTACTTGGATACCTGTACCAGATTTCATGTCAATCTATTCAACAGTTGTTAAGATATGTCAGCCTGGGCCTACAATGGCAATGATGCTATCTGTAATTAATGATTAATGCGAGTGGTTCACACCTGGTCTCACCTCGGCACCCACATTTTCCCATCATCATTAAGTCATGACCCACTTTCATAAAGATTTCAAACCAAGCTAATTTATTTTTCAAATAGGCTAGTAAACATGTGTTTCATGTCATGTCATGTCATGTCATGTCATGTTTTTTTAACATAAAACATAGAAATATTGATATTTACATCCCTGTATTCAGGTTCTGTTAGATATGAATGCCTTGCACACTGCAAGATTGGCATTACAGACACACAGAGCAGTCATACTAGTAAACACATATACAATGTCACCTCTATTAAAAACATATATATATTTTCATCCCTGCAATAATAATAAACTGTGTATGAACATCTCAACTGTGTGGTGCTGATTTTTGTAAATATGAACAGAATTAACATCACAACAAACTGTATTTACGCACAAAATAACTAATTTGTTTTACTGTGGACATCAGATAACTAAGCATTTACAATAGATTTTTTTTCTACCACACTCTCCAAGACCCATTCACGAGTCCGCAACCCAGTTTTGGGTCGTAACCAACCATTTGAGCAAGCGTGAACTAGTGTACTATCTCCCCTCGCTCTAATCTTAAGTACATGATTTATTGAGAATTCCATATGCTCTTCAAAGAAACACCTTGAATTAGAATAAGCAGACAAAGTAGATATATGGACCAGGTAACACAACAGTGAACACACCTGGTTGGTGTCAATGTCATTCGGTACCATGTTGGTTTCATCTTGGTAGGTTACATCATTACGAACAAGTCAATAAGAAGTAAATAAATAAGTCAAATGGTGGAAAAATAGAGTAATGTACTATACAGCCCTCACGGTACATTTTACCTTTATGTACAAACTTTGGTACACACATTCAATATCCCCAGAATTACAAATAAGCCCCTCCTTGATAAGGCCTGAGTCAGTACTGAAAGTGTCACCTACTATTTACTTACTACCACTAATTGATTTACATAATCACTTGACAAACAGCAATATAATGTGTGATTATATGTTCTCTAGCACCAAACTGAGTACACAAGGAGTGATTTAACTACTGTCACTAATGTCAGATTTTCGTGAAAATGTGTATCCATGTGACTTGACCCACAGTAAATGTATTTCTGAATCTATAACTTACTTGTGAAGCCCTAACGACTGGCAACAATAGGTGAAGCCTCAGCAAGACAGTCATCAAATGCATACAAAGTTTCCAATATGTCATCTCCAGCTCCACATCATGTCCAACAGTCACGAAAATTCAAGCTGTCAACCTACCTCAAGTAACAAGGCCATGGCTGCTGTTGTGTTGACAAATGGACTTTTAAGTTACCTGTCAAGTCTCAGGGTTTACCCACAAGATTCATGTTTTAGTGCTTTTGTTGGAATCTAAAGACCATGAATGATGATTTGTCCCAGTAAATAGTTTTGCAGTACATCTTTTGAATTTGCATCCAGGGTAAAAAACATTGTGCATCCACTTTGACTTAATTTGTGCAGCAAGTATCATTGATTTGTTTGCCTCAGGGATGTTGATAGTGCAAGTCTCTGTGAAGATGTGGGTCTTATTTCCCAATGTTTGGCCAGTCCCATTTTGTCCAGACCGGACATTAGCCAGGAGCAGCCTTAACCCCAAGCTGGGCAAGCATGGCTCCTATCCGGCTCTCCTCCTGGGGGGACTGCATCTCCCGCCATATTGCCTGGTCTGACTGAGGTCCACTGCTCTATCCAATCCTGCGCTTCCTTTTCTGACAACATCTATATTTTTTTGCAATAAAGTTGTAGCAAAGTTTGAAGGAGCTACCATGCCTCTGCCATGCCCCGCTATTGCCATAGTCCTAATCTCCTTAACCAGTCGATTCAAACAATTTCTGTTTGAAATCCTTTAAAATGAAATCCAATCAGACATCAACCAGACGTCTGAGCAGCTTCTTCCTTCAGGCTGTGAGACTCCTTAGTTCATCCTCAGCACTCCACCATGTAAAATTGTTTTATTTATTTTACCTATTTATTCACCCATTTCTTGTACTGTAATTTTTGTATATAATGTTTGTTTTTATTAGTAAAAGGTAACTACAATGTAATCGCCTGATAACATTTTAGTCTGAATTTTAGAAACTGCAAATTTTCACAATGCGTAAATAAATACAGAGGTTTGTCTAAGGCGTATTTTTCTTAATTAAACATATTAATTTTGTGCCTTCGATTATTACTATCATTTAATCCTAACTGTACGGAAGAAAGTAGACATAGCTTAGACACAAACACATGTTGTTGTGGATAAATCAAATTTAATTAATTACATTTGAAGATTGTTTGATTCTTGACACTGTTTGTTGACAAATAAAACAAACAAGAAAGGAACACTTCTGTTTTATCTTTCCTCCTTCAAGCAAATACAATACAATACAATACAAACTAAAATAAAAGAACATTTGTCTGTATATTGCTTCTTGCATGAGGCCCATTATGTTTTGTTTTGGGGTTTTTTGCTGGCACTTCGCATAAGGAGTAGAGTGTGGCGTTTATTTGCTTCTACGAGACTTTCTTGTTTTTCCAAAGAACCAAAACTCAAACTTTATGCAAGCGGATACTCAGAAGTCTTTATTCTCTGGAGAAATGCATGTTAGTTACAACATTTACTGATGTTTAAAGCAGTCTATTTCCTGTTTAGTAGTGAGCCAAAAACACTTGAATTTATCTATTTATTTGTTATTACTTTGAAAGAATGTTTTTAGCAAAACAGGCCTCTCAGCTACAATCAGACTTACAGTGTGTAGAGCTGTGGTTCTTACACACTGTGGTGTGTGTGGTACACATAAATCAAGTCTGTAAAGTTTTAAATATGGGTTTGGCACACAAACAGAGTGCAGGAGATCATGATAAGCATGGAAGTAGCAGACAGTGCCAATGGGGATTCCAGTGGGGGGCAATCTTTATATGTACATGTCTGTGTCTCCTTCTATCACAGCTCCATGGGGAGAGCTGTAATGTGACAATCTAACCTTGTCTTGCGCTTCAGAACAGTATGTCTGCACAGCAGGGCAGGCACTAATGGGAGGATGAACAGAACAAATAAATCTCATCATTATATTAGTCGTCTCCCCACTTCTTGGTGGGAGATGACTGTCTCAGTCTATTCAAAATAAATACATTTATTTGCTGAAATCACCACACTTTATCCCCCATTTGTCTGGAGGTCTTACATATTAAACATAGATTTCAAGCCACCAAATTGCATAGGTGCCTGGCATTAAGAATGATTACATCATTGGGTTTTTTTTCTTCAAGTTGTTGGTATAGAATCTACATCTACATCTATCTAAGCTGTCAACAGTAGTAGATACTGTTGACAGCTTAGATGTGTGTAATAAGAGATAAAGAATGGCAGAATGGTGCTTTGCTAAACAGGAGAGCCACTTGAAGCAGAAGTACTCAAATGTAACCTCAGGTTTCCAGGGTTCAGTTTACAACTATATGACAGGAATGAAAAATATAATTTATTGTTGTTCAGGGTTAATGCTATTGAAGGGATCGGGTAGAACTGAAGTTGCCTTCTATTAACTTAACTTACTAACTAATAGTTACTTACTATAACTGCTTGTTTCCTTAACAAATCTTAATTCAGCTTCGAGATCAACACAACACTCAACACAATGTTTGCTTTCAATTTGCCAGCCATTGATAGGGGAATGGATTCTCTCATTGGCTCATGGATTTAATGTAAGCTTCTAAGGGACCCTCAATTCCCTTACCTGCCACATAGAGTGAAACAAGGGTGGGGGACATTTTGGATGCTTTGATCCCACAGTGGTCCATGAGAGGTCTCCTATCATAGCACTATATAGGGACTCAGCAGTACCATAAGCTGCGGCACAGGAGTGGACAGCTAAACTGTACACACTGCAGCCTTCCAGTGAATATTTTATACACTCATAAAACTGACTGAATTATCCAAAGCCACTATGTGTAGAACGTTTCTTTGGTGACATCATCTTTTCACTGATTCCGATTGCATAATATTAAAAATGAGACAGTCACAGTGTAAACTAGTGCAGTTAATGTGTTGCTTTCAACCTGTTCAGCTTAGAATCTCCAGGTCAGATCTCTGGCAAGGCTGGGTAGCACCGTGTATCGCCTTCTGCCTTTACCACTTGAGGTGCCAAAGTCAGAACCTTGTTCATATGTTTGACTGTCATTGTCAGTTTGACAAGTCTTCACAGGTACACCTGGTTCCTAGTAACTGACACCCAACCTGAAATAATTTTAAGTTGAGTCTAACTGTGTCCAGGTAAGGTCCTGTTCTATTGGTCCCGGGTCAGTGTGGCAACATGGTTTAATACCCCAAAGTGTTTTTTGAGGCAGGAAGGGTAAACTGATGATTTGAACTGATGACTGAAATGATTGATGCATCTTTGGATTTGAACTGTCTGTTCATTTATGGCCACTGTATTCTCTATTTATGTCTGTTTGGCAGTTTTAATTTTATCTAATTATCTTTGGGTATTTTCAGTCCAGGTCTCACTGTTGTCAGGTTCTTTTTGAATCAGGTCACTTTTTTGAAAATTAATTTATGCACATTGGGTTTGGGCAGGTTTTCCACT